ACCACCTGTCAAAAACTACATGTGACGAAATTAGGACAAGGAAATAAAATTAGCCTTTATGGTCTGGAGAGGCTCTTTCTGAAATCTGAAGTAGCTGATGAGGAGAGACTTTACCTGTCTATTTTCCATCTATATGTACCACATGGTCTTTGAGAGCCCTGGGTCTCATTCGAGGTAGCCCTCAGTATCCATTAACACCGAGACAGAATACTTGGATGCAAGAAAGAGAGGATTAAAGGGCAACCTCAAAATAATACTGTGGCAGGAAAGGCTAGACTTTTAAACAAACGCAGTTTAAAAAGAAAATACCCACCACAGTATGTGAGACCACTGATCTATCTCAAAGGTCTGTGGATTCACCTCGTGGAAGGCCTACCTACCTGATTAAACGTGGGAGGTGGAGGAGGACCAGGTGGGGGTGGTGGGGGAGGAGGAATTGGCATCCTTGCCCTACTCCCAGTTGGCACTGCTCTCTCTCTGTTTTAATTTGCAGCTTTAGGTCACTCATATACCTGTAAATGAAACAGAAATTCATTAAAACAATCCGCGACCAGGAGAACCAGGGGACTGGATGTGACACTAGATCGAGGGACTAAGCACCTCCTCCAGTTCCACTGAGATCATGGGACAGCCTGGGCTTGACAAACCTTTTTTGTAAAAGATCAGATAATAAATATATTAGGTTCTGCAGGCCATAGTCATTGTTGCATATTCTGTTTTGTTTTTTTTACAACTCTTTAAAAGTATAAAAGATGGTCTGAGTGGACCACAAATCACTGACATCTGGTATAGTCACATTCCTGGGATCTGATCAGAGAATCAGCTACTTGTCAAGGCTCTAAACATTTAACACAAACTATGCAACTACCTTCCTGGTACAATGGGTTAGGTGATCCTCATTTTACTCCCTACAGCGGCCTGTCCTGATAAAACTCCATTTCTTATCCTTCAAAAAAAAAAAAGGAAGCTGGGAGACAGCGGTCAGAGTAAGTTATGAAAAAAAATTTTAGACATTATCAAAGGCTCATGAGGGAAGGCGGGAGGGAGAGGAGGGAAATGAGCTGATACTACCAAGGGTTCAAGTAAAAAGAAAATGTTTTGAAAATGATTATGGCAACATATGTACAAAGGTGCTTGACACAATGGATGGATGTATGGATTGTGATAAAAGCTGTATAAGAGCCCCCAATAAAATGGTTTAAAAAAGGGTGGGGGGGATGCCAAATTAACCAGCCAGCATGAGAACTTGCTCACAGATGACAAGTAAAGTTCAATACAGAATAGTGCGCTTCACCAATCAATCCATGAAAAGAACTGCTTTTAAGCAATGTGATTAATGAGGTGAGGACACAGAAAGAAATTGGTGGTACAACACAGGGGGGAAGACCTGTGTCCCATGCCAAGCCTAAAGATCACACCTGCATGGCAACCTATTGGGGAGACCTGGCTCTAAACTCCTTACAAGAGTGATCAAACCATCTCTGTGAAAAATGGATCACTCCGACACTTTTCTCCTAGGTCTTGGAAATGGTGAAAGGAAGGGTACATTTTCCAGAGAGAACTGGATCAGAATTGACTGTGATGATCTTCAAAATCCAGACCCTTTCCAGTGAAATACCCCAACAGAGCTAGTTCTTCCAACGGCAGATGAAGAAGTGGGTAGTGCTTCAGTTCTTGGGTGAGGTCATTCCGGGGCAATCGTGTCTGATCTTCCCCTTCCAAGGGCAACAACCTTCCTGCTTCCAGTTTCAAAGCCTCATCTTTCACTGCCAGTGATCTAACACACCAGGCTTTAAAATCGATCAATAGTCAACCTTCATACACAGAACATCTATCACCAGGGGGCAAACTGAAAATAAAAGAAACATAAGAGAAAAACTTTTTGTTCTTTTTGAATATTCTGAACTCGCCCCAAGCCC